AATTTCTGGTAAAATCCATCCCCGGATCCACGGCGGAGCTCCTCTGCCGGTTGCAGAAAGGCGATGTTGTCGGGCTGAGTGCGGTCATGGGCAAGGGTTTTGATGTCGATCGAATATCACCGCCGGAGAATTATCAGACGGTTCTTATCTTCGCCACGGGAGCCGGAATCAGGTGAAGATTGTTTGTTTCGTTATTTTTTATTTCATCTTTGGCTACATCGTCTCGAGTTTGGTTTGGAAGCTTTTGCTTGGGCTAGCTGAGATTGCTCGTCTATGGCTCCTTGCCTCTTGCCTCTTGGGGTTTATGTAGCACTTTGTCTGCTAAGTTGCTAACATATTTATCCTGGAATGACCAAGACTACAACTTTATTCGCTAGTTGGTTTCATGCATAATGTGCTTGGCTCACCGGTATCTCGTCGTGCCGTTTTCTCTACCCAAAATTTGCCAGTGACAAATCCAAATGCATAGTAAACATCCGTTGCATGTTTGTGCTATATAAAAATATTCCTTCCGATGCATCTTTATATGTTGCTTCAAGATCAATTTGCATTGCAGTTTGACCGTGGCTGAAAAAAAAAAATAAAAAAATAAATTGTCTTTTGTGTAAATCAGGCATATTCAGGAAAGTTGATTTTGCATTTTATGTAGTTGTTGGCTGATAGTGTCTGTTAATTAACGATGTCAATAATGTTATCTATAAATGAATGCAGCAGCTTTACTAATATTTGATGTTATGACTAAGTTCTTGCTTGCTTTGCTTTATTGTCTTGCCCATATGAGCATATTTGTCACCTTTATTGTGTGTAGCCCAATTCGATCTTTGATTGAGGTAGGCTTCGGTGCTGACAAGCGAGCTGATGTGAGACTGTACTATGGCGCCAGAAATCTTGGTAGAATGGCATATCAGGTACATCTTTCTCGCATACTTTTGCGGACTATTTATTAAGTGTGTAAAGAAGCAATGCTCCTGTTGTTATCTAGTTTTATTTAATGTTCTTTTCTTCCCAAATATTTTTGCTGTAGGAGAGATTTAAAGACTGGGAATCTTCCGGGGTCAATATTGTGCCAGTCCTATCACAGCCGGATGAAAGTTGGAAAGGAGAAAGAGGGTTTGTTCAGGTATTTATACATTTCACTTTCTTGGTTTCTTGTGATGTCACTTTGTCTTAAAATTCATGTCATTGATTTTTGCAGGCGGCATTTGCTCGAGCTAAAAAAATCTTGAACCCTCAGTCTACTGGTGCTGTGCTTTGTGGGCACAGACAGATGGCAGAGGTTTGTGACTAAAATATTTTTCTTCACCTTTCGAAGTCTTTTGATCTCTTAGACTCTAATATACCATATTACTCTCACATGTTACTGTTGTCGTGGTTGTCTTTATTTATTTGTTTTTGCTGCCAACTTCGGACCAATCTTCTTGTCTTATCATCTCAAGTGAATTTGAATGATAGTTGTAAAGTAAATGAAGTTGCATAGTCGCCAAAGTGAGGCAGTTATAAATTTGGTCTGCTGTGAGAGAAATGTTAAAATTTGCTCGAGCAAACAAGAAAAAATACGTCTATTGATGTGATTATGTGTTTACTGATAATCGAATTCTAAAGAACTATTTGAGATTATTGTTTTTGATTTGACAATGGTTGATAAGCACACATGTTAGGATAACTGGAGATGGTAAACTTAGAGGAGTAAAACCATGGTTGATCTCTTTTCACTTTTCTCAATTTTTTTTTCCGTTCTTTTTTTTAAGTGTAAATGTAAATCCTGTTGTTTTGTCCGTGTCGATGTACTGGAGAACTGAAACTGTGAATTTTTGGATATCCTCTAGAGTTATATGTTTTGTGTATACTCTGAATGCAAGGTAAATGACCTCTAATACTTGCTCCATGCAGGATGTATCTTCTATTCTTTTATCTGACGGTATAATGAGGGAAAGGATTTTGAAAAACATATGACAACCATATTTTTCTGATGCCCCCGGGCTTCGTCATGCCATTGTATTAATTTATTACATGTTGAGATTAAAATCAAAAAATAAAACCAATTTTGTTGTATCTTAGCTTTTGTATGTTCTCTACACTTGCCTAGCTGCTTGCTGCAAGCAAAGTGGAAGTTTTAGTTTATAAATAATAATCCATATTGTCGCGAGCAAGATTTTGACTCTGGTTCCCTAGCTGGTAACTGTAAGTCTGATATTTAGATAGTTCATGAACTTATTTCATGAGATTATCAGTTTGTATTTTTCATATGTCGTTCAAAGCAAAACATTAATACAAATACACTTCTTTACTCTTTTTAACATGCTCGTGTACATAAATATGTTTGTTGTGTTGATACCAGTTTATTATAATTTGCTATTGATTGGGTGGCAAGCAACGACTGCTACCGACTGGTATAAAGCAAGGAGATTGGTGTGTGTAGTTGTAGCTTACAACACTTCTTTTCCACGTCGAGTGAGTGTAGCAACAAAATATTCCATGTGTCTGTTCAAGTGTACTAACAATATCTCGTGGCTCCTGGAAATCATGAGGCATTTGATCTTTTTGAGGTTGATGGCCATGGCCACTCGAGATGTTCCTCAATAGTTCATTAGTGGCTTGAAAGCAAGTCTTTTCCCAATGAAACTATTGCTTGTAGTAATCGAACTGCAAGTTTCCCTGTTTGCGTTTATTGCTTGGACACGATTCGGTCGTAGTCCAAACAAATCTGGAGTATTTGCTATTTTGTATGGGAGTTGAATCACATCTTTCGATGTTGTGTTGAAGAATAAATCATACGACCGGGACATAGACACACAGATGTCTACATCAATAATCTGCTATCGCAGATAAGCTGAAAAGCAGGAGGGATCCTACAACTACGATGAATATTATATGTTGGACTTTAATGAACTCATTAAATTCGATCGAAGTCTGAGCAGGGACAAATCTACGTTTATAATAGCGGTTCCATGGTCCCTAACACGAGCCGGCCATAGGCTTTGTCCAAACATGGTCATGATTTTTGGACACCAAAAATGTTTGTATGCATGAACGAGTCTGTTTGCTAGCTGTGGTTGTTAGTCGCCTACGAAGCTGCTGCGATTGTTGTTCTGTTCGTCGTTAGAGCCAAAAGAATGGCATTTCCCAGAACATCGAAAGATAAGTGTAAAAAAAAAAAACAGAATTCAAAACTAATATGGATGGAATTATTAGAATGAAACCCTGGAAGTTAAGACGAAATAATTGTTGGCATTATTAATTATTTATAAAGTATATATCGTTTAATTTCAACTCTATACTTAACTAGGAATAAATATATCAGCAATGCCAAAAATTTTAATAATATAATAAAAAATTTAACGTCATAAAAATTTTAATTGCTTATCAACTAGAGTAAATTGAGCATGTTTATACTTCAAGAAGATGCTACGGTCCCGTTGCAAAATCATTCGATCGAATTTTATAATCGTTAGATCTAACTGTCTCTGACGGTTACATGAATCCGATATTAGGTAGACTGATGCCGACAAGATTGCATTGGCATTTTTCAACAAACATGATCGGCTTCGGTCTTCAGTGTCACTATTATTATTATATTTATTTCAGTATTTGTGTGCATTTAGTATGTTGTGTGTTGGGCTTGTGGTTATTTATTTACGTTATTGTGTTGGACTTGTGTAATATTATGTGTTTTAAATCCAAGTGTTTAGGATAGATATTATAAAATAACTGTACGAACGTGATGAACATCAATATCAATTATCAGATTTGTGAAATTGTTTCAGAAAGAAAAGAACATCAATATCAATTATCAGATTTGTGAAATTGTTTCAGAAAGAAAAGAACGAGTTCTTCGTATTCTCTGTAAATCTCCTTCCATCACACATTCTGCTGCATCACAGACCCTCGTTCACTGCCAAAGATAAAAAAACTTGAAGAGTTCTTTTTGTCAGAATTTCACTATGACAGAAGACAACTCAGCTCAATTTCAAGCAACTGAAAGATAAAAACAACATTAAATAATCACGGATGACAACCGCAACGTCGAAAATAATTCAACAAGGTAGAAACACACACAAATTGCAGTTTGCAACACAGAAAATCAAGACCAACCCAAATATAAGTTCTCAAATGTCTGAAACAACTCAAAGAAATAGACAGACTAATAAGATACTTCACCAAATTCTAAACAATTTGCCCCACAGATGATCAGCATCTCCATTAAGAATTTCTTAGACTCACTATTTTCTATCATCATCCGAACCCGACGTGTCATGACTATGAGACCTTCTGTCATTATGATGATGATGATGATGATGCTTGTGGCGCTTTATGCGGTGCCTCCTTTGCTCAGACTCGTCATCAGTTGAAGAAGAATCCGAGTCCGACTTCTTGTGATGCTTGCGGTGATGTTTCTTACGCCTTATCTCTCTCTTTTCATTTTCATCATCACTTGATGAGTCCGAATGGCTCGAGTGCCAACGCCGATGGTGCTTATTTCTCCTCACACCTTTATAATCATCTTCGTCACTGTCGCTCGAGTAATAATCCGAGGAGCTTGAACCTGACGATCGTCTCTTTGGCTTATGCTTTGATTTCTTGTCTTTTATCCTCTTGTGAGATTTTTTTGTCCGCTTCTCGTGGCTGTCGGTATCGGAATCAGATGGTGATTGCGACCTTCTCTTGAGTTTGGCAGATTTCGACCTTTTCTCCTTGGCTTCGGCATCGGCTTTTGCTTTAGCAGCAGCTTCAAGCTTCTGTTCCCATATCAATGGGGCTTCCTTCTTGGCCAGGACTCTCTTCTTCTTCTCCTCCACCAGCTGCATGAATTTCTTGGCATCCATGAAAACAAACCTAGCTGCATTTGGTATGATGGAGATGGCCGGAAGTGCATCTCAAAGAGAGAAAGGAACAGTGTTAGTTCATTGATCACAAATCACAAACAGTTAACCTCTCATGGAGAAAAGAATCTGATAAAAAAGTATCCCGTTTAATGTTTAATTGGATATTACATAATCAGTGAGAATAAGATGATATATATATGGGATAGCAGTGACATAACACATATAGCTCAGAATCCAGTTTAAGGCGACAAAGCAGAAGAACATAGACAAGATAACAAGCATAATTGTTATCGGATGGCAATACATCAAAGAACTTGATGTAATTCATAATGATAGCTAAAGAGCAAATCTACCGAGCTTGTGACATATACTATACATCACCGGAAACATGGGTTTTATGTCAAACCATGTCCCAGAAAACAGTTATCCATGTCTAACATTAATGTCACCGGCAAAACCGAAAGTGGAAGCACTTAAAAAAATACAATAAAATTCTCTCAAGATGCAAGAGAGCACAAGAACTAAACCATCAAGATATATAACATTTTAATGAATCGCCAAATGATAATTAATTAAAATGGATATGCAATGAAAATCAGAATCAGGTTTCTTACCTTATGACCAATAAGGAAAAGATTCAAACCGCAGCTCAAATACTCCTTCTCACTCACACCACACCACTGTTCGAACGAAAACAATCGATAAAAATATGATAAGTACACAACACAAAAACCCAGCCATATAATTAAAGAGCAAATTAAACCCAGCTTCTCTAACCCAGAAAAGATACTGAAAATTTCGATTTTTTCAAATTCAAGCAAGTTTGATCTTCTCCTCAAAGCCCTAATTCAACATCCTCATATGCACACCGATAACATGAAAAATCAACTGAAAACAATATCGTCTAAAAGACGAGGAGACAAGACGAACAGATCGAATAAATTATTACTCTAATCAATATCGCCAATCACGAATCGACTCAATTAGCAGCTGCAAATAATTCAAAAATCCATACCTACAAACAGATCTGAGCTGATTAGGGTTTCGGGACCCGAGACGCAGACCAGAAGGAAGGAGCTGTTTTCCTGAGCTGCCTATTTCTTTCACACGAGTCTAGAGAGTTGACAAATAGTGCAAGCCGCGTATTTTATAGAGGGGGGATGTAGTAAGAAACGCGTTTTGGTGCGCTTGGATTCAATGAATTACACACCAAAGTGGAACATTTTATTCCAAAATATTTTATTTGGATTTTGGCAAAATCTATATATATATATATGGTTGGGTTCACATGAGAATGATTCTCAATGAAAGAAATAAGAATACATATTAATCATTAGATCGGATGATCCAACGGCTTAAAAACAGACAAAATTATACCTTCATTAAGGTTATAATGGTAAATTACACACAACACTCAAAGAGGTGGGACCCACTACAAATTCACCAATGACCAACTTGTCAACAAACTAACACCTAGCAGCTAACCCTATCCCACCCCACGCCCCGTTCTCTCTAACATAGAAACAAAACACACACATCATCGTCATACACAAGCCGGTCCCCGCCACCCACCGCCGATCTCCGCCTCCTGCTGCCGCCAGCACATTCCTCCACCTTAAAGAGCACGGTCGTCTGGTCCCGCGGTGCATCTTCTGCACGGACGAGGTCAATTTCCTCGGGATCCACCGAAAATTAACCGGGAAATGAAGCACACGAATCACCGGAGCAAAAATCTCGGCTCCAATTCTCAGCCTTCTGGCGGAATAATTTCAATAGCTCGGTCCTCGATTGTGAAGTCAGACGACGTGCTCGACCGGATCCATCAAAAATAGAGCATTCGACAACACAATTTGCTGAAAATCGAGCGTGAAGACGGGTTGCCAATTGCACGGCATTTTCCAAAATTTGGTCGGAGTATTAGACTTCGATCCGTTGATGCGAGCTGAGGAACGTCCTCTTCGTGAGGAGTCGATGGGCCGACGACCGGAGATTCGCCGGCGAATTGACGAGATTGAATTTGGGTTGATGTCTAATTTTTGAGAATTAGATATTTTTTAGGGTCTTGATTGCAATTTCAAAAAGTTTGATTAATGTCAATTTAGTACATGTGCAAAATTTATAATTAATAATTTTTGTTTAAGAAAAGTATGATTGTTTATATATTTTTTTATACATATAAATTAAAATAATAAAACAAAAAATGATTAAATAAAAATATATGAAAATCATATACAAATAATATACAATTAGAAATAAAAATATTAAACTGATAAATAAACTTTCATATTATAAATAATAAATTATTTAGTTTTTTAAGTTAATTCGGTTAACCAATTAAATAAATTTAATTTATATATCGACTAAAACCAGTTTTCGGATACAATTGGGAAAATATAAATTATTGCACTTTATACAGTGAAATATTGCACGTTATATAACAACGTGTCGCACTATAAATATTGCACTTTATATATCAACGAGTGCACTTTATACAGTGAAATATTGCACTTTATAAAACAACATGTTGCACTTTATGATTAGACTCGCCAATTAATGTCAATATCTCCCACCCAAATATTACGCACTATAAATATAAAAAAAAGGAACACTGTGACACTTTATATTCATAAAAACTCACACGATCTTGTTAACATAACAGAATTTAAATATTACACTTTATATATCGATACATTGCATTTTATACAATAATACGGTGCACCTTATAACACAACACGTTGCACATACCAGAATTACAGTAATTCTATTTATCGATCAAATAATATTAGTTGGTTAATGACGGTTTTAGTTTATTATTTAAAAAAAAAAAAAAAACTAGTCGAACATGTCGAACTATATTGAAAACATATTATCGATTTTTTTATATTTTTTTCCTATAAATAATAATGTTGTTTTATTTATGTTTTTATGTATTACGAGTGCACACTAGGGTTATACGGGTTGCACATAAATGTCTATTATATTGCACAAAATCGAACAATATCCATCGAACATAAATTCGATACAAATTTTTATATTTCGATCATAATACTATTATTATTTTATATATCAGAGATTTCACTACGATGAAATAATCGAAATAAAAACTGAAATATATTAAAAAAATAATATTTTTTATATATTTTGTACAACGGCGACCATGATTAACAAGACTATTTTCGATTGGAAATTTTATACTTTTCATAATGATCTATTTTCACTTTTTTTTTTTAAAGCTGACTACACTATTATAAATATAAATAATGAGTTAATTCAGTTATTTTGATTAAACCGTATAATCGACCGAACAAATTGATCATTTTTTGTTCGATTTTATTTTAGATTGTGATAAAAAATACATCGACTTGATTAATGTCGCACAACCGTGCACATTTACTATCAAATATGTGCACACTATTGTTATGCAAATAGCACGTTAATATCTCGCATGTTGCACATTAACATTCGAAACTGACAAAAATAATATTTTCTATTTGAAACTTATATGTTAGTTCAAATATAATTTTTAAATTTTAAAAGTTTGGTTATTTGAGTTTAAAACCGGCTCTAGGTTTTAAAAAATATTTACCACTATTTTTAAATTTATCAAATTATTAAAAATTTAGTACATATATTTACCTCACTATTAATTCATGTTATAATTAATGTTTAAATAAAATTACAAAATAGTCCTAACACTAACCTAATTTCCATAAACTAACCCTTAAATCAATATACCCCCAAAACACCCCAACATTATAGTTGACATTCTCAGCCAAATCACTCCTCACCCAATTCATTCACATAAATCATCAATTAAATAAAATAAATAAATAAATAAATAAATAAATAATAAAAATCACGCAAGATTCACCTAACATCAAAATTCATTCACCCCAGCCAAATTCCTCTTCAACCAATTCATTCATAGAACTCAGCAATTGAATCAAAATTCACCTAACATCAAAATTCCGACCCCAAAATTCACATAAATCACGCTTCAAAAATTCATCAGCCCCAAAATCATTTCCGGCCGCCGCCACACATCTCCCGTTCAGGTCACCGGCGAGCTCGTCCAGTTAAGGTCGCCGTCCCTCTGCTATTCCCGATTCGTCCTCGTCTGCAACACCCGGATTTATCGTCTCCCTCGCCGTCAGTACGTCGGGGCGTTCGATTGGCGGGCTGAGCGAGATTGAGACAGGGCAGGCGACGGTGGTGGGATTGCTGGCGGCGATCGACGGGATGGTAGCGGCGGCGACGGAGACTTCGGGCAGCGAGATTGGGTTAATGGCAGTGGCCGGTGGTTTGGGAAGACTCTGGCCGTGACCAGGAAGAGGGGAGGTGGAGGGCGCTGATAGTGATGGCCAACGACTCTCGCCAGGATGGTAGCGGCGGCGGTACGGTGGCGGCGGCAGAACCGGTGATTTGGGGCTGATTTTCCGCTGTACCCGCTGGAGTGTGTGTGTGTGTGTGAAATTGGGTGGATACCTGATAGAGGTGAATAAAGTGTGGGCCATGTTTTATTGTATAATGACCAACTTATCCTTAATTATTGGTCAAATGCACATATTTGACCACAATAGTTCAAATAATTACTAGATTGCCATTAATGATTGACCATTATATATAAAAGTTTGACTTCATCAAGGCCATTGACTTTAAGAATCCAATGGTGTGGATTTATTCTTATTTCTTTCACTATCTACCATTCTCATATGATCCATTCTATATATATATATATATATATATATATTGAAATTAGCAAAGA